CAGATTTATGTCAAAATCCCAGGATCCAGATTTACCTCGAACTCCCAGGGTTCAGATTTATGTCAAAATCCCAGGATCCAGATTTACCTCGAACTTCCAGAGTTCAGGTTCATTTTGAACTCCCAGAATTCAGGTTCATGTTGAAATCCTGCAGTTCAGGTTCATTTTGAACTCCCAGAGCTTGGGTTCATGTTGAAATCCTGGGGTTCAGATTTATCTGGAACTCCCTGAGCTTGGGTTCATTTTGAATTCCCAGAATTCGGGTTCATGTTGAAATCCCAGGGTTCAAATTTATCTGGAACTCCCAGGGTTCAGATTCATGTTGAAATTCCGGGGTTCAGATTTATCTGGAACTCCCTGAGCTTGGGTTAATTTTGAACTCCCAGAATTCAGATTCATCTGGAACTCCCAGAATTCAGGTTCATTTCGAACTCCCAGGTTCAGATTTATCTGGAAATCTTGGGGTTCAGATTTATCTGGAACCCCCAGAATTCAGGTCCACATTGAACTCCCAGGGTTCAGGTTCATTTTGAACTCTCAGGATTCAGAATAATTTTGAAATCCCAGAATTTGGGCTCCTCCTCTCCAGAGATTGGCACTGCAGGCTCAGTTTGGGGCACATGGAATGAGCTTTKCCCAGCCAAGATTTGTTTGTTGGGATTTTCTCTGCACATCCAGCTCAGTTTTTTTTTCTCTTCACAGCCATTCAGGTGCTCTAATTTTGGTTCCCCCTCTGTTCTTTTGGTGACCATATGAAAAATCTGCCTCAATCCAAGTGAACAATCTCCCTCTTCCTCTCCTGTCTTAGAGGATGAACCTGAAGAGCAGCAATTTTGGACAGTTCCTATAAATTTTCCTCTGGTTTATCAGAGAGGCATTTTCCCGTTGTGAAGCTGAAGGAAAGGATGGGCCGAGCTTAAATGAAAATATTTTTAAAAATAATCTCCCAGATTTTAACTTTATTTAATAATAAAAAAATCCTCTTTTTAGAGGAAAAAATTTCATCTTTTTAGAGAAAAAATTTCCATCTTTTATAGGAAAAATTTCCTCTTTTTGGAGGAAAAATTTCCTCTTTTTAGAGAAAAAATTTCCTCTTTTTAGAGGAAAAATTTCCACTTTTTAGAGGAAAAATTTCCTCTTTTTAGAGGAAAAGTGATTAAATAAACCAAGCTTCTGGTAAATACAGCCCCACCCTGGGCACGAATCCCTCATCAGGGTGATGAATGAATATTTTGGAGCCCCTAAAGAACAGAGAAAAAAGAACCTGACTTTCGAGAGACGCTGCAAAATCTGCCTTCTCTCCCGTAATTCCCAACTTTGGGCTAATAATTCTCAACATCTGCTGCTTTTTCATRTGAGCCCGAGCTGGCAGCACTTGTGAAAACTCCAATTGTGGGGCTGAGCAGCTCCAAGGTGGCCCGGGAGGAACATTTGTTTAACAAATGGGCTGCAGATCACACGATAACAGCAGCAGATAAGCGCTGCCCCTGCTGGAAAAGCATCCTCGGAGCTCCTCCGGCCGCGTTCTGATTCCAATCTGGAATCAGAGCCTCCAAATCTGCGAAATTTTCCCGGTGTCCTCCTGTTTGTGCTGTCCAGGGGTTGGAATTCTCCCCGCGCTCCGATTTTTCTTCTTCCTCCGTTCTGCTTTCCCATAAAAGGGAAAAATTTTGTCCTAAAGGAGAGTTAAAGGAGAGTTATTTGCTCTTAAAAACGGAGTAGTTCCTTCTCTGATGGTGAAAATAAATCCCAGAGCTGTGGGATGGCAGCGCAGGAGCATCTCCCGCTCCTCGGGCTCTCCCCGAGTCCTGGAGGTCAGAATTTCTCCTTTTCTTCTCCCTCTCGRGGAATTTTTCCCCATTTTTGTCTCTATCGTTGTTGTCGCTTCTTTACCT